GTTTTAAATTACACTAACCCCCCCCCAACCAAAACCCCAACCCAGTCCTGGAAAGTTTTCAGTCTTGCTAGATGCACTGCAGCTTTTCTAAATTAGTTAGTTCAGCCAAAATGTAATTATTCTAACAACATGGTAGCAACCCTGTTGTGCAGGCTGGGCTGGGCATCCATTCTATATCTTACTTTGTGCTCACGGTTTCAGACAGACTTTTTCTTTTAAGCACAAACTTGCGATATTTGGTCTGAACCAAAGTGTACATTCTAAGCAACATCTCAAGAAAATCCATGTAGCGAGCTGGATATGGAAATGGGAACTATAAATATGTGCTTAACCAGCTTTTGAGAAGGGCAATTATGGAAAAAGATTGCTTTGTCCCACTAATTTATTTGCAGAATAAGCTTTGAGTAATTATTCGTGCATGTTTAAAAATACTTATCTATAAACACAGCAGTTCAAAATGTATCATCTTCCATGTTTGAGTATAAAGCACGGTATTCTAACAACACAAATATATGTACAGCCTGTATGCTCAAACTTACATACTGAAATTAATACTGTGTGTTTCTACTGGATTGAGTTCTTATTGTACCACAATTTTATCATCACTACTATTAATCAAAGCAATTTTGGTTCATCTGGATACTGTATTAGGAAAAATATCTGTCTTGTCTACCCTGCTCTGATTTCTAGCTCTCTGATTTCCTTTCAAAATTTGTCTAACATCCAGAGATACGTCCTCCCGTTTTTATCTTGTCAGTTTCTAAAGAAATTAAAAATCACACAAAATTTACATAATAATATTTAAATTCTCAGTCCTTGCACTGCATCAAGTAAAGAAAAGAAAAAGAACGGTAAATTTTCTTAGAATGGCTTCAACTTTTCTACATAGTACATATAAACAATCTCAAAATTTAAAACAAAGACTTATGTAAGAGATCTACAGTGAGATCCACCCTGCACCTGAATAAATACATTAAGTTCTTGAATCACATGGGCTTCAAATATTTGCATTTGTATTCTGATAAATACATTAACATAATTTAATACTGATTTATATAAAAAGTTGAAAATAAGGTATTTTAAGACTATGTCTCTTTTCAAAGAGACATTAGGCCTGTATTTTGGTAGAGGGCTATATTTGACTTCTGTACCTTTACATTCTAGTAATCTAATCCCATCACTCGTTTTATTTTAAAACATTTAATTAAGAGTTAATACATTGAAACCTAAAATGGATTTCATTACCTAAAAAACTACTTATAACCAACTGCTAGCACTGGGACAAAACTTAACTCAGCACAGAACTTAAAGATGAATTCAGATACTCCCCCCAAGTCTAAGTAAAACTAATTGTAAGCAACAATTTGTATTCTTACCAACAGGTGAGTCCAGTGACCCTGACACTTCATTTAAAAGAAGGTCTCAATAAAAAACAGCAAGCAAGTCCATGCAAAGTAATAGGAATCTTATGAACTTAAAGGAAATTTTGGTGCACAAATTTTCAAAAAAGCTCAAAAATTGGTTGTGCTTTTTTTGTTTCTGTCGCGTTCTGTTGTAAAGCTGATGTAAGCTTAGTACTGTGATGTAGGCAGCCACACTGGACTACAAGGAAACACTGGCTGGATATTCAATAGATGAATTAATTCTTGATATTTTCTGAGAGGGTATCACACAATGATAAGGTAATGACTTCACAACAGATAAGTATTTACCACTTGTCATTACTACTTAATCTCCACAGGATTTTAAATCAAAAAGATAAATTATTAAGAAACAGGGCTTAAATATTTATCACCATTTGTTACTAATTACTGCTCAGAAAATCACAGAATTGCCCAAACATTTTATTTTGATAAAATAAGTTAGGCATTAGGCCCTTGCTCTAGTTTTATAGAAAGATACAGTTTGTGTACTTTTTCATTATTCACGAATACTGAAAATAAAAGATTAATAACCGCTCTGTCAAAAAGTGTTACATCAGTAATTAACAAAGACTGTGAAGTATAAAATTCTATACTTATTCTGACTCCAAGTTGATTAGCACTGTTCTCAGTGCTTGCACACACCAAATTATGAACTTTGAATTTTGGCTGTAAAATCAATGTACACTCAGATCACTGGAATATAAGATGAGCAACAGCACATTAACAAATTTTGGTATGTAGAAATCTGTATCCATATCACAAGAAAACTGAATACAAGCATGATGTCTTTGCTGGACAGCAGTTTCTACAAACTACAACCCCTTCAGTGATGAGAAATCTACATTTAGGGATTCTGACTGATTAGGCATCTCCTTTTACCTTTGAAGAACCTTATTGACTAAAACAGAACTTAAGTATAAATATCCGTTCA